AAAATTTGAAGTCTTGGATTTGAGAACTTCATATGGAAAAAAATACCATCAGAAAAAATGGTCCAGGTAGTTTTGGGAGAGTAATACTAATTTGTTGCCCGTTATTCAAAGGACAGGACCAGTGACTGATCTATTGAACTGATTTTTTTTTTTTTAAATTGCAAACTTTCAGTGTGTGTGTATATAATTTACCCATTAACTGGGGGGTCCAAGCAAAGACTAACCCCAATGATGGTTAGTCTGCTGGGTTTTTAAGAAAACTCCTTTCTTTAAAATGAAAATAGAAGCACAGAAGAGGCTTGCAGAGTTGGCTCAATTTAAACCCCAACAACAAAATAAAAATGTATTTTATCCAAATAAACCAAATCTGGTAATGTATAAGGTATAAAAATATTGCTAGGTGGTTCTGGGCTTTTGTTTGCCTTTAGCCTTTGCTTTAAGTCTTTACAGAGACATTGTTATTACCATAATTGTCACAATTATTCTACTATTATTATTACTTGTAGTAGTAATAGTAGAATGTGTCTTGTATTGGTATGAGCTTGAGCAAGGAATGAGATCAGACAAAGAAAAATGTAAAGTTGTGTTCAAATTCTTTTAATCATATATTTTTTATAACCAAATTATTTAGACCTACACTCTCTAAGTCTAAGTCTCTATATTGTGTCTTTGTAATGACTGAAGCTTATGTACTAACAAGAAGTAAACTGTCTGTACTTATTTAAAATTTTCAAGTCGAATGACTTTTTAAATCCATTTACACTACATTCAGTTATTCACATGCTGATTGCAAGATAGATTTTAGCCACGGCTGATCTGGGGCAAACTGAGAAAGGCAAAGCTTCCATACAAGGGAGCCTCTGGGCCCTTTGACCACTAAAAGCAGGTAAGGTGGTTTCCTTGTTCCTCAAGGACAAATTGACAGAGATGGATCAAGTGGGAGCTCAAACCAGCAGCCCATCGGTTACAGGATGAGTCCGTACCTCCTGAGCAACCTTTTCCCCTTTGACAAAATAATAACAGTCTCAATTTCAGCTTTAAACTGGGTTGTGTCTATTTTCTGGTTTTGGTTAACCCTTAATAGGGCACTCAGTGAAATACTTTGAAAATCAAAATTTTAAGCCAATAGTTAGTTAGTTATTGGAATCCAGGACAAGACCTTATTACCTTTGTAACATTCAAAAAATATTGATATTTTGATGGCAAAAAATTAATTTAAATGTAATAACAAGGAACGCCAACTTGCTTGAATACATTAAGAAAAATTAAAAAAATGCTTCTATAAGAAATTCATGAAAAACACTGAGAGGGAAAGAAACACATTTTTATTTGGTACAACATAACCTTAGAGGTTAATGCTGATACTGGCACTTAATTTTTTTACTTTATAAACCTAAATAGAATTGTTAACCAGGCTTATTAACTTTTTTACTTTTCAATTAGCTTTTTCACCTTTTTTTTCTTTTTTCCAACTTAATTTACAGTAGGTAATATATCATTCAAGGGCTCATCTAATGGGTCAATTGCCAAAATAAGATGTACAGTACAGCCATGTAGCAGTATGTTTGCTGAATGGCTGGATATAGATCTTGTGATTCTAGACCTCACTGAGGGACGGGGGGGGTTCCATTTGTAAGGGGTATGCAAGTTATCAAAAATGGTAATTTGCCCTATAAAGGGTTAAAAGAAGTTTCTTCTTCCTTCAGGGAAGTAACTTGAGTTGGGTAAGGGACCACAAAATCCACTTGCATTACTTTAAAATAATATAATTTCAGCAGAATTAAAAATATACTGCAGTAAATATATGAGTCAATGCAATCAACTGGTTTTCCTTAGATAGAAAATTTTTAATCAATTTGACTGTATGATCTGGTTGAACTGTAAAGTGCCTTGAGATGACTTGTGTTGTGAATTGGCGCTATATAAATAAATTGAATTTAACTGAATTGAAATATCCATTTTGTACATTTTTATAAACTTTGGTAAAAGTAAAATTACTAATTGAATTCCTTATAAAAAAGTTTTTAAAAAGTTTCACATAGTACACAAGTAAAACTTGAAATCAAAAAGCCATACATAATAAACAGAAAATAGATACAATTTCAACATACATTTGCAAAAAGAATTGATATAGAAATAGAAACATGATCTACATTTAGCTTTATAACTAATAAAGGGAGAATTGGATCTGAACCGTTGTCTGAAATATTTCCAGCCTCCTGTCTTCACACATGTCCAACTGGATACTTTTCATTTTTCTCTTGCAGCTGTTACTTTATGACATTATAAATACATAAAGAACAAAAAAAAGGCATTTTTTTAAATGTAAGGAGTAGAAAGTACATGTATTTGTGTTCAAATGTAGTAAAAAGCCAAAGGTCCTTAGAAAAAAAAGTACACTAGTAAAGAACAGATACAAACAAATAGTAAGTACAGTAAAAGTATTTTTACTTGGTTATATGACACCTTTATTAAAAATACAGTAGCTAGTTTTTACACTAGTCTTTGAGTGTTCTCACCTATGTCCTCTGAAGTTTTTGGCAGTAAATTAGACTTAATTATGTGAAATTAACCACTTAACCAATTAATAATGGAGAAATTAACATGATCTTTATAGTGCTGCCTACTTTGTCCAGGAAAAATTACGCTCTCAAGAAAATTGTTTATGATGATAAGAACCTAATTTTGAGAGAAAAAATGAATAGCCATAAGTATTACTCATGGTGTGGTTTCAATATAATATTTTATTCTAAAGTTTTTTTTCTAAGATATTATAATTAACAGACACACAAAAGAAGGGGTCTTTTCACCTCTTTAACATTTGAGAGTGACACGCTAGGAATCAATCTGCCTTTTTTTTTTTTTTCCCAGTTTTAGCCCAACTTTCAATCCTAAAAACCTGAACCCAGGAGGCTGACTCTGCCCTCTGTAATTCAATCTCCAACTGATGAATATATATTTCGAATTAGTCCAGGTTTGAATCAGTAAAATGAACCAAATTGGGATATTTAGTACAAGGCGTTTTTAGAATGCACATGTTACCATGGTTACTGACCCTGGTAAGTGGAGCTGCTTTAAGATTGATTTTATTGAAATTCCCAAATGGATGCAAAATGACTCACTAATCCTTCTACATACCCTGTCGACAAGACAGGGACATTTTTAGCATGTCCTCATGATTATTACTTTAGACCTGAAAGAGCGAGCACTTACCTTTTGCCATGACTGTATTCATGTAAATCTACCTTTACTTGTGTATAAAAGACATATTTTGGCCTCTTTTGAAAAGAAAAATTGTTGCAGTTGAAATCTGTCTAAGGAAACTGGCTTCAAGTAAAGACATTTTCAAATAAAAGAAATAAAAATCCCAACAAAACATTAATGTAGCCAGATGAATTCATCAGTGATGTTCTTACAGAAGGTGTGACGATGATCTGCAGAACGTAAAGCCTTCTTCTGGATTAGCCAAAGACGTCCAGATCTGTCAGCAGAATGCTAATATCACTTAAGTCTTATTACCTCTTTATTGCCCACTGCAATGGCCGTAATGACCACGGCCTCTACTGAGAGATATAGAAAAATATAAGGGTTTTTCCTCATTAGATCATGTCAGCAGGCTGAAATCCCTAGTCCAGGAATATCTGGATAGGCATAAACACAAGAATTAGAAAATATCAGAAAAATTTGGCTTCGTTAGATTAAATGTTTTGCAGTGTAAATTTAAAACAGGAAAAATCAATTGCCTTGTGTTATTTCAAGTGCATATTATCTAATGATTTTATTTTAGGAGTGAAAATACTCATTCCATTGACAAATCATCTTATGTGATGTTTACTTATTTCTAGATTGTATTTGCATTGTTCCATATGTTGTTTTTTTCTCTTACATGTGTGAAACTCAAATCTGAAAGTTTTTTCTTTGGAGGGTGAAAGGTTTGTCCTTTTAGAAACGCTTTCCTGCTCTTCTATAAAAAAACAGGCGAGGTATGGATTAAAGTTCTATTAATTGACAACTGTTTTCTGCCCTCTAGAAATATTAACTAGTACTGCCTGATTATGCCTATAGAAATTAACTTAAATCCAGCAGATCTGTGTTTGTCTTCCCTTTCCAGTTGTCAAAGAGCTAGTTCTGCGACCATCTCTCCCCCATACCCAGCAGCAACTCCTACTCTTCTAATTAATACTGTAAATACCTGTATTTAATCTCCCTTTTTTTTTATCAACAAACTGCAAGAGTAAATATATACTTTACATAATGGGATTAAGTTTTAAGCAGAGCTGGGCTTTTGCTTGACAATGAATATTAAATGAATATTAAAGTTGTGACTGTGATGTCACAGGGAATTTTCTGAGAGGTTTTGCTTTTATATTTTAGTACATATGGTTTTATATTAAGTTTGCAAATAATGATTACATCTACTAATGGAAAAAGAAAATGGTTGTGTCTCCCTTGGAGGCATGGATTTGACTAGGCCACCCTATAATCTTCATTTGTTTTTTGAGGATCTAGTAAAGGGTAGAATCAAAAAGTGTTTTTAATTGCTTTTTTTTTTTTTTTTGCTGCAAAGCCTAAGTCCTGGTGAGCTTGAGATTATAAATTGAATCTCAGCCACAATTTAAAAAGACAGCAAGTTACCCAAGGTTTGAATCACCAACGCGGCCCCAGATAAATGACATTACCACTACTGTGATTGGATGCCCTCTGGACTCAGTGCAGGAGGTGGGAAAGAAAAGGATCCTCACTAAATTAACATCTCTGTTGGATAATGTTTCCACCCCCATGCATGAAGCTGTAGCTGAATTGGAGAGCTCCTTCAGTGAAAGACTGCTGCACCCTAAATGCACCAGGGAGCGTTATCACAGATCCTTCCTCCCACCAGCTGGAAGACTATAACCACCACTGTTCCCAATGGCCTCAATAAGTTGTAACATTCATGCTGATTTTGCACAGTTTCTACCTTAATCATTTAAATAACATACTGTTGTCATTTTGCACATCTGTGATGTTGCTGCTATTTTAAAATATCCACCACTGTAAAAATGTCCATAGCTATATAATTGGTATTTATTCTCCAGGTGCACAGTTTTTATATTGTTAAAACACTTTACAGTACAGTATCTTATTGTACATCTTTTAACTCTTCACTATTCTTTTTTTCCAACACTTTTTTCTAAGGCCCATAAATGTATGCCTTTTTTAAGTACTATTTTTACTTATGTAAACACCAGAATTTCCCCATTGTGGGACAATAGAGGGATTTTCTGTTTCTACTGTGTTTGATGGTTTGTATATTACTTTTTTTCATTATAACTTGGCTTTATGCCCAATAAAGGGATGCACATCAATCAAAAGTTCTAGTTTGTTTTATCCTCTGTCCATGGACTAAAGAATATATGCCCAAATGTGGGTATTATTAGTTGAAATTTAAGTTTTTTTTATCCTGTTCTTCAGTCCACCCTCAGATTGTCTGACCTGTTTTAAAGAAATTAAGATTCAGGTTAGCATTTTAAAAGAAACCTAGGACATCTGGCCATCACGTTTTGCTTTGTGCATGCTAAATCAGGTTACTGTCCATCAAAATGTCCATTGTGACATATTTGAACCATTGTGTCTCCTATAGGTTTTGCTTCTTATCAGGGCCTGCTTTGAGATTAGCCTGTTCTGTTTTCTCTGGGCACCAGCAGCAAACGGCCTTCCCTCAGGTATCCGTTTCAGGGTCGGGGTTTTCGCATTGTCTCTTTTGTATGCGTTTCTTTTATGAAATCTGCTTTGAGAGGAGTATGAAAAGTTAACTCATGCCTGTTGCTTTAGAAGAGAGCAGACCAGATGTGGGTATTGTTTATCTGTTTTCATTCTTGCGAGAGTTTTGTAATTAAAGTGCCACTATAACTGTCTCCACCGATCTCTTTTGTTAACTGAATTCACGCAGCTGTTATATATTATTTTTCAAATCGGTATCAACAAATTATCCTTTTGCAAAGTGGAAAACAGATCTCTGTGAGCTTCTCTTTTGTTGGCATTCTTTTGACCTTGAAACTAGGAATAAACTTTCCTATTTTAGGAGGCAAGTGTTACCTGTAGTGCCTTAGATGTTGTCCTGGGTTTCAATTGACCCCCTGGATTATTTGTTAAATACCTCAACATGGAAGGTTCCTCACTGTTCCAGACTTGATATACATGTCCCTGGAGTCCTGAAGCTTTGAAAACAGGTGTGTAACCCTTTTAGTATTGACATATGTCATATTTGTTTTTATTAGTACCCCCATGTCTTTATATCAGGCCATAAGGTGTTGCCTTTAAGATAATTTTTCCTACTTCGTTTGACAGACAGCTCTGTGAGGGTGATTTCTTGCTTCTTCATTTCTAGCAGTAATCAGCGTTGTGGTGATCAGGGAGTTAGTGTGATTATGTGTACAATCATGGAAAACACTGATGAGCCAAAGTTTGTGTCATTTGCATTCATTAGTGAACAGTCTAGAGTTATTATTTCAAATAAAGGAAAAGGTTAGAATGTTCCTCAGCTATGTTGACAACACAAAATTAGCCACTGATCATGAAGAAATCAGGAAGAAAATAAATTTTTTTGTATTCCAGAGGACCAATTATTAGTTTTATGTCTTTGCTTTTTGGACTGGTGACCCGTCCATGGTTTATACATCTTTTATCAAAAGACTGGAGATAGGTACTAGCCCCTGTAAGCCAGATGAATATGAATGGATGGAATTTCGCTTTTTTATTTTACTGCAAAACTTAGATGCATTTGTTACTTCAAAGCTGAACTATTCAAATTCTTGATTATCGGGATGTCCACAAACTGGAGTCAAAAGCCTTCAGCTGATACAATTCCTCCTTAAACCCTCAGTCAGCCTTGGCAAGATGCCCCCCACACGAAGCCTGGTTCTGCTTGGGGTTACTTTCCATTTAAAAGAACGTTTTTGCTCTCCACGGTTGATGCGTGCTTGATGTGAATAACTGCTGTGGAGTCAATGATACAATGCAAGTTGCTTTCTCCTGTCACCAAATGCTCATTCAGGAGGAGCAAACCCTGCAAACTGAATGAATCAATATCCTTAAATAGAAAACTTTGAACAAAGATCCGATACAATTGTCTCTGTAAAGTGCCTTGAGGTGACGTGTGCTGTTGGCCTAACTGAATGGATGGATGAATGGACAACTATGGTTTTGTATGATATCCATAAAATATTGACCTTTAAATGAGCATTTGGTACATTTGGTACAAAAATAAACTAAACAACAACCAAATTTCCTTCAGGCTGAGTTTTAGATGTTGCTCTATGCTAGATCTCTACATCAAATCAGTCAGATAGCATTCTATGCATGACAAAGTTTATTGTGAGAGGTTTATAAATTTGATATATGAAATTATTTAGATGACACTTTTCTTAATATTACTGTTAACAGACAGAATGATTGATACTCACATTAGTGATAATTAGTCCCTTTAGGAAACATTAGTATCTTGGATAGCTAAACTATTGGTCCTGCATAAGTTTAAAATTGCAGCATGCTTGTCCACTTCAGCACAGCTGTGGCTGCAGGTTCTGTTTGGAGAATATTTTGTTCCTGCATGTAGAAAACAACTAAAATGTCACCAACTGATGTGCAGGACAGTTAGGTCCAAGTGATCAGAGATTCAGTAAGCAGCAAATGGATATGTTACACATACATTGGTTCTGGCCAAGCTTTAAAGAAAACCATCATATATTCATGCTATTTTTTTCACGCAAAAAGCTTTTTAAATAAAACAAAAATAGTCCAATAAACTGTTTGACAGCAGCTTAAAGGCTTTGTTTTAAGAGAGCATTTAATTTGTAAAACCTAACAGTTGTACTGTCCTAATGGTATAAAGAACAGAGCATTTTCTTCTCTCTTCTTTCTCATATCCTTGATGCAGAACTTCCTTTTTTCATATCTGCTAAAAGAGGATGTGATGGACTAAAGAGTACTCTTAGCAATAAATCAACATGAAATATCTACAAATGCGTTAAAAAGAAGAGCTGTAATAAAAAGAAAGCAACACTGCTTTTCCATGTCATAGAAAGTACAAACATTCAGCACTGGAACCATCATGTTTGCTGCTAGAGGCTCCCAGCAGCTGAGTTTTTTTTTTCTTTCCCAACATCCTGTACAATCAATCTTTACTCTCTGTGGCAGTTTCTCAGTAGGAGACAGAAGATATTTCCACATTCTGAGGAGATTGTACCCTCTCTGATAAGGAGGCATGGATTGGTACCATGCAAATAGCTGTGCAGCGAGTGAGAAACTGCTAGTCTAAAAGTCTTTCAGCTGTTCATTAAATTTTTATGACTGTTTAAATCAATGTATGATAAAAAAAAAAAGTGGGGATTTTATTTGAAGCTTGTCAGCTTTATCAAACAGACCAGACATCTTTAGCTGTACACTGACAGTCCACATTCACTGAAGCATAAAGCTGCCATTTAAAAGCAAGTCATTACTAATAATGAACTCAGTCAATTCTATATTCTAAGGAAGTCAGGTGATTTTTTTTTTAGTATAGTTTCTATTAACAGTTCCCTTTAATTCCACAGTTCTGATATTTTCTGAATTCAGTCAATTGACAACTTTGTTTGTCTGTGTGTAGCACCTAATTACCAAAACAATGTCCTTATAATTGTAAGCATTACTTGTCAGTAAAGGTTTTCTGCTTCTAATGTCTTTCAACATTCACACAGAAACCAAAATGCTTTGTTCTGCAGATGCTGAGTGACTGTCCCTGTTTCATGTTCAGCTTATGTATTCTTCTTCCCAGGACACTGGATTTTGTAGCCAACCCTGTAGGCCTGCAGGTACACACGAGCCTGGTTTATCCTGCAAATATGATCACATGACAAAAAAGCAACAGTTTTTTGAATGCTTTCATTCTGATTTAAAACAATGTTTGCTTTCAAATTCAGTACCAAAACAAACACCTACAGATTTTCGCTCTTTAGCAGAAAAAACTCTAAAAAACAATTATTTTATATTTTTAGTTGTGTAAAACAAAAAAACATGAAAAAAAATCCTAATGCAAACCCGATTAGAGGAAATAGCTGGCATTGGTAGGTAAACAACTGACCTGTATTTAGTGCAAAGCTGAACTCCCAGGGGTCCACAGCGATCGACATAGCTCTCCTTGAAAGCTTTCCTCACAGCACGAGCTGCACTGACCATCATGGTGACAACAGGGCATGTCCTAAAAAATACGAAACAGTTAGGATAATTTTTTTGAAAAATGTTTAGGCAGCAAAGAAATTATCTTAAGGGATCCAAAATGACTGTCATAAAGCACAACTGTCTGATGTAGCTATAAAAAGTATGAGGGATCTGGAGATGATAAGGCGCTCAGTAGTGATGAGGTAATGTAGGAGGCCTGCAGAGTAGTGACAGATTTCTGTCATCTAAAACAACTCATTCTCAACTAAACCTACTAAGTAGATAAGTTAATGGAGTAGGAAGAAAATCTACATTCCAAACACTTCTTTAGTAAAGTTATGATAAAACAGCAGTGTAATCTTTATAAATGAAATTATGAAAGAAAAAAAAAATCATTAAAACAGCTGCAACTGACCCTTTTATAGACTTAATGATGCAGAAGTGGTTCACTTTGAAATTGAGTTTGACGCCCTCGCATTAAATCATAAAGATTTTTTTTTAATTAATTAAAAGGGCACCTGTTCATAATTTCTTGTTCTGTCTACCTTAATGTTTATAGTTGTAGACATTGGTTTAACCTGTTGAACAGATTTTTTTTGACTGTAGGATTATTTCAAATGCCATCAAACAAAGCTATAACTGCTAAAAGAAAACAACAAAAAATGGAGGGAAAAAAACATTCTTAAATGACTTCCTGTCCCTAATATCAGTCATTCATGTGAGAGTTCTCTATTTAGATAGCTCTAAACTAGTCTAATGCTATATAATTTGTCTGTTTTATATTGTTTGCAATGAAATGCAAAGGAAAGTGTCAGACCCACCAGGGTTTTCATTTTATTTTTAGGATAAAAAGGGCTATGCTGCATACTGCTCACCGATGACTCATTTTAAAATAACTGTAGTTTGCTGTAGTCAACCACAGGCTGCCTATATAAGCAGATAAAGCAACTCTATACAGAGCAAGACCACAAAATGTGCATCATTCTCCACAAAATACATTCAACGTGCATTTACACTAAAATTACTTTCTAATCCAGGTGTTTTTCTCAATTTTTCTTCAGATCTACAAACACAGATCATAAACAAGGTACTGTATAGCTAATATTTTTATACCTGCAATATTAACTATGCAACATTATTTTTATGTTGTGAATTGCTTTTTCCGAACTTTAGCTATATACAATCTTGTAATAAAGTGTTGCTTAAAAATATTTATGTCAATGCTTTCATTTAGTTCAGTTGTGGCAAAAGAAGACATTAAACTGCATGAGCACATAAAGATTAAAATGTGAAGTGAATGCAGCATAAAACTAATGACAAAAACGGCATGAAATAAAAATAAAAAAATCAATGATCATGACACTTGTACCAATTAATCCCTTTTAGGAAAAAAACAGAGACCATAAAAAAATAAAAAATCTGAGGAGAAGCTGGTGCTAGATGATCTTGTTACTTTTCACTTACAGCCTCTCACAGCGCAGGCCTGCGGTGCCTTCTGGACAGGTACAGGTGTTGTGCGGGCTGCACGTGGCTCCATGTTGACAGGGTGGGACACATCGCGTGGCTACAGCTACAGTAACAACCCAGTATTAACAAGAGAAAAAACTTTTTTCTTTCTTTTAGCCACCTATAAAGAGTACACATATAGTATTGACAGTCATTGAAAAACCTGTTTCACAGAGACTGCCGGTAAATCCTTTGGCGCAGCGGCATCTGTTGAGGCCCACGCACATGCCTCCATTCCTACATGATCTCTGACATTGGATGGGTTCTGATGAGGACAAAGAAGAACCCAGGACTAATGTTGTCTGGAATAATTTAATTCAACAAGGCTCATCCCTGCACCTGTCAGTGAGAGTCAGTGACCAGAAAAAGACATTCAACAAATAGCGAGGCCAAAACAACTGGGCCGTAAACTGCAGTGTGTTTGCTTTGTGGTAACATGGCCTCAGGGATGAGGAACTCTATTCTGCTTTCATTTTTTTTTTTTTATAGTAAAGCAGTTCTCTTACCTATAGTCTGTATTCTTGTTATAATTCCTTCATCACCTTAATTACAAACCACATTTTAAGTAGTACATTTTAAACTTTGTGTGTCTCATCATTATTATACAAAATGTACATCCTAAAAAACAACAATTGGGTTGTGTTTCTTCTTTTCTCTTTTAAAAAGATTTGTATATGCATAAAATATTTGTTTCAATGTTAGCAGCACTATTACTAAATTACAGACAGAGGCTAGAATGAAATGAATGAAGGTTTTCATTTTAAATCATTTTACCAATTTGGCATCGTGCTCCTTGCCATCCAGCCTCACACGTGCATTTGTTAACATCCACACATCTTCCTGCGTTCTGACAGGCTGGAGTGCAAAGTGCTATAAAACACACACAGACACCTCTTATGAAGTCCAAATCTCCTCCATATTGGTCACATATGGTCCAATATTCAAATAAACTGATAAAATCATTGGTTCTTTACGTTATAACCAGTCTCTACAACATGAATCTGATAAAAAATAGACTAGCTGCAATCAATGAGACTTGTGTTATTTCTACTTGATGTTTTGTTGTCATTTTACTTACGCACTAGACACTGGGGGCCCGTGTAATCAGAGGGACACTGGCAGGTATTGGGGCCTACACAGCGACCGCCGTTAGCACACGGCAACTCACACACAGCTGAGCACAGAGAGAAGCTAAGATGTTAAACCTGAAGAGTCCAAATACAAACAACTGGGACAATGTAAGCATTGAGAAAGGGAGAGAAAATGGCAACATTCAATGTATATGCATACATGATCTACAACACAAACAAAGTTAGAGGGATAACTTGGAAACAAGAAAATATGCCTTCAATGGAATAATACCTGTGTGGCAGCCTGCTCCTGTCCAACCAGAGGGACACACGCACATGTTCCATCTCATGCATGTTCCTCCATGAGCACAGGGTGGAGAGCACATGGCTGAAATAAACAACCAATATACTTTCTTGTAAACCAAAGGCACTGTCTTAAATATTATTTAAACAGACTGAGACATGGGAAACTGTTGCTGTTCATTGTTTAGTCATTTGTACTTCCAGCTTTATTTGTTCATAGATGCCTGCAACATCAGGCTGTTGCTAATTCCTATTTCCATTTTATCCATCACTACTTCCATGTTATAACCCTGAGCAAACCATTTTCTACCCACGTCGAGTTAAGCTCAAAATAATTCACATTCTCGTTAGATTTAATGAAAGTGTTTTTATTAATTCAGGAAGTTTTTTTTTCTTAAAGAAAATAGCACATATACTATTCAAAAGACAAAAAAACCCAAAACAATGCACATTATGATTTCTGACAATAATTATATTTATATTTCATCAAAAGATAGTGTGGCCAAAAAAATACCTTTAAAATAATCTGTGGAAAAGCCTTTATCTATAATATGGCAAACTGGTATTTAGACTATTTAGCATCAGTGATGAGCTTGAAGTCTTTGAGTTTGGAAGGCCTCTTTACTTTCAACCTAATCTGGATTTAAGCCAGGACCTTGGCTGGACCCCTCCGACAATTTATTTTAATTCAAGTCAGAGGAAACTTGTGAATAGTTAGAATAATTATTTAAATCTAAATCTATCTGGGGGGGTCATCTTGAGTTACAAACCCCTTTTCTTCTTTAAACTGTTGTATTAAATGAAGTGTCAGATATTCTTGACCAAACATTTCTGGACGATTACCGATCAGAATAAACATCTCAGTCAAACAAGAGTTATTAAACCAAAGACTGCCTTGGGTACAGACTGTGTTTAAACAAGTGAATATAAGTTAATTTCTATGTATTAATGAGAGGTTTACATAGTTTGCCAAGAAGGGATAAGCATCCCTCTATATAGGTCCTTTACATTGAGGTTTGTACCTGAGCAGCCCACTCCAGGGTAGCCTGGAGGACAGACGCAGCTGTTTGGCCCGACACAGACTCCATAGTTCTGACATGGGGGGTCACACACAGCTGGAAAATATTTAAAAGACACTTTAACTCAGCTTTTTAGACAACAAAATCAAAGAATTACAATCACCAAACATGTTAACTTAGATGTATTCTTCTCAGTGTGTAAGAATTATGCTGTCTGACTCACGTCTACACCTGGTGAGGTCATCAGTTCGAACTTCGTACCCCTCCCTGCAGGTGCAGTTAAACCCACCAGGAAGGTTCACACAGAGCTGCTCACATCCTCCGTTTGTAAAGTCTACACACTCATTCACATCTTATGAGGAAGGAGAGAGGGAAAGACATTTCCAAAGCTCATAAATCAAACATGTTTTACTTTCATTTGAGATAAAATAACATTGCAGTTTGGGTGCAAACATGATTTGTGGAACTTGGCAGCAGCAAAACTTGTTAAGATTTGACGGCAGGCAATCAAGGTTCTGCACTTCCAATTTTTACCCAGCTGAAGTGATTTCTTTTTGCAACCAACTTTATGCTGGTAAGTGCAAAAGAACGAGAGTTTGATGGCATCTCTGAAACCCATCCAGCTTGTATAATGTTCATAGCTGAGAGCACTAGGAAGCAAGTGATTACATTTGGAGGAAGGCTTGAACAGATGGTGAAACCTGAGGAAATTCAAGATTGTAGTTTGAGAGGTAGTGATTAAAATTCAATCAACTAACACCTTTTTTATAAGAATATGGCTTGAAATAACATCCTAAAATCTTTAAAGAAGCAAAAAGTGAAGAGTGAAGATGAAGTCTCACCAATGCAGCTCTTGCGGTCATCCCCCAACTTCCAACCTGCTCGACAGCTACACTGGATTTCACCCTCAGCTCTGAGTGAACATAGATGGTCGCAGCCTCCGTTTCTCAGCTTACAAGATGTAGCATCTAGTCAAGTCAGGAAAAACAAGAGCTTCTATTACCTTAAAACCTTTAGAGCCAATTGAAGGATTGGTTTCATTGAGAAAAGACAAAGAACCCATTTAAAATTTGTCATTTAACAAAGTGCAAGAGGTCATTGTTGGTTGTCTGCTTTCAAAGACCAAGGAAACTTGAGCAATTGCAGAGAATTACCTTAATCAGTTTAGCTAGAATGTGAGAAAATCATATCTCCCCTCATAGGTCGGTATACAAAGGTAATTTTTAAGTGAAGAAAAAAAGCTCATAAGAAAAAAAAATGGCATTTATAGTTTTCTACCTTTCTGATATTTATGTCAAGCTTCTTAATAGCTTATGATATCAGGATGCCAAAGAGCGCACATGGATTAGGATGTACATTAATGAGTTCCTGCAGAATATTTGGTTTAGTAAATTGGAAAACAGTCATGGGGTCTCGAAAAATAAAAGTTTTTATAAGTTGATCAAAGAAAAAAAAATTTCAAATGATGTCAAGGAGGCATTTCAACCTCAAACAATTAAAACTCATAAATAATCTTAATTTTTGATGACAGGTAGTATTTAGTTCCAGCCATAAAATAGTAATTAAATCTTTATAATTTTTTCTAATAGCCATGGAAAGCAAGTGAGGTGCAAGAATGCAGGGCATGTTGTAATGTCTTGCTTCTTTAGTTTCTATAAAGGTCCCCTAGAATGCACTTAAAGTAAAACTTTTTGCAACAGATTGTTTAATTAAATACTCTTGTAAAATCTTGACACAAAGGATTTTTATAAAACCAAATAAGAACGGATTTCAGCTCCAGTTCTGAACTTTCAAATCTTTGTTCAGGGTGCAGGTCTGTTGGGACTTGAAACTACTTCCTCATATTTAATCCAGAACATTTCTATAAAATTAAGTTACATACACTTTAGGTCTCAGAGAATAAAAGGTAATAAAGAATTCAAATAAATTGTTATGGGTTACTGTTCAATATTTTTGACATATATGAATTATGCAAATCCTCCAAAATGTCTTTAGCATATGCAAAACTAAAGTTAGTTAGGTGTTAAGTAAACCCACTGCGGCAGGTGAGGTTGTCAGAGTCCAACAACAGGGGGCGTGGGCAGTGGCAGGTGAATCCCCCAGGAGAGTTGGTGCAGGTGTGAGAACATCCACCATTCTGGAGTTTACATTCATCGATGTCTTTATGGATGCAAACAAACAGGAAAATTGTCAACATGAAAATTTTAGCACTCAGATCTGGTTTTTGTACAGAATCGAAGGCTGGTTTTATTTTATTCATCTTGCACGGTTTTAAAATGTGCCCCCAGGACACCCATTTATGTCCAGCTATGCAAACATCCTCTCCGACAGACACACAAAGGCAGAAACCCATGAAAAATGGAGAACATATTCATGGCAGTTTTTTTTTTCTCCTCTTATGCATTCTGGTAAATTGTCCTCGTTGAGCTGCTTTAAATGACTGAAAATGAGTGAGCAAACTACTGTATTAAGTGAATGAGTGCCTGTGGGTGACTGACCTACACAGGTGCAACCATCAATGTGCAGCTGGTAGCCTGGTTTACAGGAGCACCGGAAAGAGCCCACAGTGTTGATGCAGAAGTGCTCACAGGTCCCATTTGGAGCTGAACACTCATCCACATCTGTGGGGATCAAATACATTTCGATAACTAGCTCACCACAGCATAACACAACAATCAAGGGTTCATTTGGACTTATCAAAGCGACTGATGTACAAGTTTTTAAAAGCTTAGATAAATTGGGTGCAGAATGTCCTCTGGTGTAGTAGGGTAAGGCAGCACACCTTTGATACAATAGGAGCTGAGTTTGAATCCTGGCTGCATTGGGGAGAGATCCTGTTGCACAAACTCTGCCAAGTTTGTTTTGGTTCCCCTGAACTACAGAAGCTTATAATATGTGGCAACATTTATGATGTATTTAAAGGTTCAGGTAGGCTTGATCTATTTGCTGCTCTCTATTGACGTAATTTAAGTGCAATAAGTGCAATAAAATTTTTCCTAAATTTTTTCAGCAATTTTTTAATCCCCAGAAGAACCAGGGCAAGTGTAAGTGGTTTTCTGCTGATACCTACAAGGGGTTCAGGAAAACAGAGGGAGACACACAAAGAACATAAAAGCAGTGATCCATGAATACTTTTAATGTTAGAAAAGGTTAGAAAACAGTAAGCTACATTTATAGATGGTTCTGTCTAGGAAAGAATTTATTAAGCAGATGCATTCTGAGCTGGTTTTCATGTAAACAGGGATGAACAGTTAGACATAGTAAAGCTAATGTCAATTAAAGAAACAGGACTAAGCACTGAAAAACAGGCCCAACACTATGATCTACAATTAGTAAAAAACAAGTGTGCGATCACTTACACCATAATGAACTTTTTGAGAAGTTTCAGTCTGGCTCATCATAGAACTAAAAAAGCACTGATGAAATTCGCTAATGATATTATCATGGCCGCAGATAATGGACTTGTATCTATACTTGTCCTGTTAGATCTCAGCTCTGCATTTGATACAGTTGATCATAATATTCTTTTAGAAAGACTTGAATATTTTTCTCAGAATTAAAGGAAAAGCACTAGACTAGTTTAAATTATATCTATCTGACCGACTTGAGTTAAGCTAACCCATTACATAGATTACAGACATGTCTTGAAGACATAAAAACCTGGATGACTCTTAACTTTCTGCTCCCGAATGCATATAAAACATGTTACTTCAAGGCTGGACTATTGTAATTCCTTACTATCAGGAAGACCACAAACTGTAGTTAAAAACCTTCAGCTGATCCAAAATGCTGCAGCCAGAGTTCTGATGAAAATTAAAAAGAGAAATAATATCTCTCATATCCTAGCTTCTCTTCATTGGCTTCCTGTTAAATCAGGAATAGGATTTAAAATTCTCCTTCCCACATATGAACCTTAAATTACCAAGATCCAGCTTATATCAGAGATATGATTGTTCCTTATGTTCCTAACAGAGAACTTCGATCTCAATTAGCAAGTTTACTAGTGGTTCCCAGAATTTCTAAAAATAAGAAATACTGAAGAATGAAAGAATACAGGTAGAATGAAGCAGACAGATGTAAAGTGGTTCCTGTGTCCTCCAAGAGTCTAAGCCTACAGCAGCATAATAGCTCAGGATAACCTGAGCCACTCTATTAGCTTAATCAAACAGGAAGGCTTTACGCCTAGCCTTAAAAGCTTTTATAATAGTCTAGTCTTTAAGTAAAACCTACATAGACTAGTTTCTCATTATCACCCCTGAACAAGATATTTATACATTTTGCAATATTCCAGAGTTGAAATAATTACATTCAAGAAATCTGTTTAATATGGGATTTAAAGTACAAATTTTTTTAAACATTATTATCTAAGACCAAACCATTGACTTAACTTCTTTTTCAAGCATTTATTGAGATAGGGCAAAGGATGAGGGAGGTCTTGTTGGTCTCTGTCTCCATCTCCCTAACACAATCTCTCCGACCTTTTAGACATTTCGACATCTTTTTCTGAATCCTACATTGTAGCATGGCATAGACAATTCACGTTTGCAGTTTGAAGAGCACCAGCTTGCTTCTGATAATTTCCTTTAGCTAACCAATGAGTGTTTGCGTTATATGTCTCATCCAATTTTACTAGTTTTCACTAGATGTGGATGGCGCCAATGATCTGCATTGGATGGCGCACATGACGTTAAATAAATATTTATAAACCAAAGCCAAGAGTAACGAGTAATGTTTTTTATTTTAAATGTAAAAAATAGAAAGTACAGTTACTTGTGTGTTAATGTAATGAGTAGAAGTCAGAAGTAGCAAGAAAAATGAGTAATGGAGTAAAGTATAGATACCTAAAAAGTGTACTTAAGAACAGTAACAAAGTATTTGTACTTTATACTTGATACCTCTACAAAGAACCAAATCTAAATTTGGGCCTGACTGTTAAATATCAGTGTTTGTCTTACTGTATCTCTTGTTTTATTCAAAGATATGCATCACTGCATGAAACAAAACACTGTTCACATGCTATTAATTTCATCAGAGATTAAATAATTAAATATTGTCAAGATTTCAAAGTAGTTTAGCAGAAAGAACAGTGCACCATTTAATATATTTTAATGCTCCTGGTTCTAGGATAAATGAAAAATGTTGCAATGGGGCAGTGATTTGAAAGATTAGACCTAGAATTGAATCAGAATCCAACAGATATTACATTACAAGTTGACAGGTGATTTAGTTTGTTGGTGTTCTTACTATTTTTCATTTGATGTAGTGGTCAGAGAATAACTTAAAAGTCATCTTTACAAAACTCAAAAGAGCTTTCAGAATGCTTTCAAAGATAGTTTTCTGTTAGAATCTTAACTTGTGTCAAAAGTAACAATATATTATATTGATTTCAAGGAAGTACAAACTTTTGAAAAATCCTACAAGATGTCACTGCATATGCATGTAAGGAGTCGATAATCATTTGTTTGTTAACAATGAATAGTGCAAAGCTCTGGATAGCCATGAACTCCTGTCATATAAAGACTCATAATATTGTTTTAAAACATACAGAAGCAGCCATTTAAAATGGCCCTTCCCAGTCAAACGCCAGCAGAATGGCAGCCTACTCCCCTACTACTCCCAGCAAAATCCCCTCCAACTTCCAGCCAGTGGAGTGACCCCTTCCTTCTCCTAGGCATTTTTTTTTACTCTGACTCCACCCTGTCACTGAACGACAAGGGCTGACCAGGAGATGACGCTTCTCTTTAAATCTTAATGTTCACAAATCTTGACAGAAAGAATACCTTAGTACAAACATTGATGTTTAAAAAGGAATTGTAGGGGACCAGCAAGGGCCCTTCAAGGAAATTGGGGAAATTTTGAATGGGCACTACTGTAACACTACAAAAGTGTTAATATTGTTAATTACAAAAATAAATAAAAACAAACTGCTATGTTGTTTTTATGCGACCTCAAACAGAACAGCAGAATAGTTGTTAGAAATATAAAAGCCAGGTTTAAAAGTTAAAATCTGGACTAAGCCAAGCAAACTGTTAATAAATGCATTCAGAATTTTGAATCTAGTGAGAATTACAAAACATCTTTTAATAAGCTGAATTACTAAAGATTAGTACCATAGCACTCTTATACTAATGTAAATAAACTTGAATACCAAATATCCACTTGTTCCTCCTGCATATCCAAGATTCCGCCCCTCGCATTTTAATTGAATTGAATTTTTTATCATCTAAATATATGTGTTTAGGTTTATTTTTTTTTCTTTTGACATCCTCTTTCAATCTATGATCTACATCACCTGTGCAGTTATGTCCATCCTTGTCGAGCTGATAGCCTGCAGCACACTGGCAGCTGTACGCTCCAAATTCATTGGTGCAGTTGTGTTCACAGTTGCCATTGTTAAGAAGGCACTCATCAACATCTGTAATTAAGAACAAACTTAAAAGACCTTCATGTTTCATGTCGCTAGACATGTTTGTGGGAAAACATGCACATATAAAACTCTTACCCACCAAAGCAAGCCTGCCCATCTCCATTAAAGCCCTGGTAACACTGGCAGAAGTATGAGCCGATGATGTTGCCACACCGAGCATTGGTGTCGCACCTGTGTCTACCTGATAAACACTCATTTTCATCTGAGGGGGAGAATTTAGATATACATATATTTATTTATTTTTTACTTTTTTTGCTGCATCCAAAACTACGTTCATTTTTGTTCCATAACCATTCTGTCACCCGGGATCATTTTAATGGAAGGCATAACAGCAGGCATTAAAATCTCCGCACACGATGAAGCTGACCCCATCGTTGGGAAGCAGAGTTTCTCCACAGAGAGACGTCAGCACTAATTGCCTACCTTCGCAGTGTGTGCCGTTTCCCTGGTAACCGGGTCGACACATACACTTGTAGCTCCCGAGCGTGTTCTCACACACACCCTGACCGTTGCACAACCCGGGACTCTCAGTACATTCATCCACGTCTGGGACAGAGACAGAGAGTAGCAGAATACTTATTTTCATTAACAGCTGATAAGAGTTAAAAAAAAAATTAAAACATTAAAAATTATATATATATATATATATATATATATATATATATATATATATATATATATATATATATATATATACACACATTTAAACAAAGAAGTCCTATTACAAAATTATGTTCAATGACAAACTCAGTGTTCTTACTATGTGTAAGTGGTTGGTGTCCTGCAAACAGGCTAAAGTCATCAAAAGTAAATTTTATTGAACATCTATTAAGTGTTTCCACAAGGTTAGCCTTCAAAATAAAAGCTAGTATCAGTGGATGGGATTGATGTAACAACTTTGTACTGCACTGGGAAAATACACACAACTTACACAGAAAAGGTGAGAAAGTACATAGATGTAGTAAATAAAGTTCAAAGAAAAAAAGTTTCTAAAGGTTTTCTTGGTGACCTCTCCTGGAGCCCTTAGAAAGCACAATCCAAAGCTGCACAGGTGTTATTCACCTCAGATAAGGTCAGTGTTAATAATTCAGCATAAAAAAAGGGCTTTTGGCACAGTGCAAAACGGAATAGAAAGGAAACCTTTGCCTCACATCTTGCTGATCCCTAGGTTTTCTATGAAAATACTCTTTATGAAATATGTTGCTTTCGTTTTATTTGGCATAAAAGTAACAAGGGCTGAATGATACGGCTAAAACGATACGGACAATATGTTTTTTAAAATTTTATGTTTATACAAAATTATTTCTCATGACTCCGCTTGGGAAAAGCAGACAAAATATCGACGGAGGGAGGGATACAAAATCATTTCAATATCGATATATATGAAATTAAAGTCTCAGAAAGACTGCCATGGATATCTGCACAAACCTCTGACAATTATTTTGAAAAGTTTCTAAAACTTTTCTGATATAAAATTTTTTTTAATATTTGCGGTAAAAAATGCTGTAATTGTAAAGAATACTGTATGTTGTAATATCACCATTACCGAATGAAATTACATTGAGATATATATTGATTTTGAATTATTGGTCATCTCTAAAACTAACTTATCATAAAAACATCAAATAACCATTTTTACCAGTTTTATGACCTGAAGCTGAAGACATTAAATTAATAAAGCAGGTTAGATTAAGAGGTTTGGATTTTATTTTTTTTTTCTGAACAGGTTACAGTATATTTGTTTAAGACTGAAAGTTTTGTTTAGGTTTAAAACGGAAATAACTTGTCAAACTTGTGCTTTTGGTGCTCCACGTCATTCCACATAATCTCGTGCAATAGCATTTATTTTTCTTAGATATTTCCTTAACTGGTGCTTTTTCAAATAAAGATCCTGAAGCAGGCAGCGGGTGTTTTGCATTTAAAGAATACAATGAGCTGACACGCTAAGTAGTGCAGATACACAGGGCCTACAGAGAACCGCAGTACAGAGGTGCAGAAGTAATGCATGAAAAACAACTTACAGAAAGGTAAGAAATGTTCACTTCCAAAGAGAAAGTTTTCATTACAGGATGGATAAAAGAGGTAGAAGCAGGCAATAATAAAGGCTTAAAGAGCAGGTTTGCAGCAAAGCAACGGATTGAAGCTGTATATCCCCTGCTTTCAGGAGACGGATAGGTACTGAAAGCATGGGCTCAAATCTAGATATGAACCTATTCCAGTGACACCTAATAAAAGACTTACCAACACAGGTAGGGGTCTCAGCTCTGAAGCCAGGCTGGCACTGGCACAGAAAACTGCCAGGAGTATTCACACATATGTTTCCCAGTTCACGGCGACACTGCTTCTCAAAGCTGCACTCGTCTACATCTAAACAGGATGTAAATCATCATCTGTCAGCATCAGGGTGGAGGGCGACGTTTATGGAAGTTATTCATGATGATACAGTCTCATAAAGACGGGCTACCCAGGATTCGAACAACAAAGACAGCTTTCATATCAAATCTAAAATGCACCTTACCTATACAGTCTTTCCCATTCAAAGCCCTCACATATCCCACTGGGCACGAGCAGGCGAAGGAACCGGGGGTGTTTTTGCATTCAGCCCCTTTCTGACAGGCCTGCAGGCCCGTGACTGCAGCCAGAGCACATTCATCTATATCTACAAAAAACCCAAAGGAGATATGGGTTATAACCACGACACACAAGCTCTACCTTTATGAAAATATCTAGCTTTCTCTCCACCATACACCCACACACACACTTTTATGGAGGCGGACAAACCCTGGCACCCTCCTGAACCCATCATGTAGCCACGGAGACAGGAACATGAGTATGAGCCGGGGGTATTAGTGCAGCTGGCATGGAGACCACATGGCCCTGGTCCTTCTCCTTCACACTCATTAACATCTGTTGAATTGAGACAGATGAGGGTAAGATATACGATCAAATTTGGCGCGATGTGGAAGTGTTAAATTCAAAATTTCCTAGAAAAATAGACAGAACAAAAATCTAAAGTAAGGCCCGTTACAGCTGCTTTCTCAAAAATAACTCCATGGTTTTACAATTTTTATTGCCTCTAACAAATTTACATTCCTCCATCTGTATGGATTTAGTGCATTTATCTATTCCAGGGAGGAATTCTCATTTTACAAGTTAGTGGTAAATTGTGTGGAAACAATTCTGCAGCCTGCACACTAGATAAACCCTATGATGGTTTCCCAACATCTCCAGTTTCCTTGTATTCCAAGTACCACAGACATCACCTTTAATCATTGCTTCATTCTTCCAAATCTGTCCATGTCTCACCTTTACACTCAGCTGCTCCCTGCAGAGCAAACCCCACAGGGCAAGTACAGTTTTCCCCGCTCTGTACTGTTCCGGATGGACAGCCACAGCCAGCACTGCCCTCCTGCGTCACTTGGTTTCCTGGACACTGAGCAAGAGTAGAGCTTGGAGGAGACATGGCGATGGTTGGAGCTGGTTATAAGGATAAATAAAAATAAAGCATTATATATTTATTCCTATTGAACCATTTCACATTTGTGATATTAGAACAAACATTAATGCAATTTATTGTTTTTTTTTTTTATAAATCTAACTAAACTGAATGCAAGAAAATAGCACACAGTTTTTAAAGTTTACAACATATAAAAAACATGGGTTAAGGTGTTATTTATTTGTTTTCATTGCCTTTTTATGCTTTATGCTATACACATGAAAGGAATTCAATTTTACAAAACACTTAGAAATCCTCTGATTAGCACATAGAGTTTATATGAACAAATGAAAGAAAAATGCAATATCTCAACTTCAGACAATGAGTTAAGATAAAAGTTTGACAGGACTTTATTTAGTAGATCCAGTTTTACAAACGGCCCACATTTAAGAGGAATAGACCAGTATTAGGTATTGCAGGCTAATAAAGAACCCAAACCACTCCCCATTCCTAAGAGGTGCACCCGTTCTTCTGGTTTAATTTGCATGTTTTCTAAGCCAAAACAAGTTTTCGGGCTACTATATAAAGCTTAGAATTCAACGCTAACTCTAACATTTTGAATTGAAAAAGCTTCCTGGATGGGAAGCGAAACATCTTCAAACTTCGAAAACAAATTCCAGTGGATTGTTTTTTTTTTTTTACTTTTTTTGGAATGACTATGACCTGGAGGACTGAGAATCTTCACCAGAAGCTTTACAAAGCTGTTCTTTGATATTTTGTTTCTGTTTCAGTAAAATCAACACAATTTGAAAAAAAAGTTTGAAAGATTAATTTTATAACTGAATATTTGTTGATATTAAATTGTTATCTTGATGAATCTCAGCTTTTGGAAGATAAATGGAATTAAATACATTTCAATCCTGTATAAAAGGTTGGCAGTGGCCACAAAAGATGAATGAATATTCACCTTGCAACATGTCAGCAACACTAATACAGTCAAAGCTATAATAAAAACAAAGCATTTTATGTGTTAGAATGGCCTAGTGGTCGCCTCAGGATCTCCCCAAAGCAGGTGGAGGAGTTGTGTGTGGATCGGGAAGTCTACGCATCTCTACTTTTACTGCTGCCTCTGCATTCCGACCCCGGATAAGGCGGAATTCCATAAAAAAAATCATGGTGAAATAAAAAAAACGTTCCACCTATATTCAATCTGAACAACTGCAGATTACCAATGAAAAGCTCGCAACACTTTACCTTTTAGAGATGTGCAAAGCTGATAGAAACAATATCCAAAAATCTTACCCTTCTATTTAAAAAAAAATATGGATGTAAAAAGGGTTGACCTGGTAGAGATAAACAAAAATGACTAACTTTCTCAGTTTTTCATTTGTAAAGCAAACAACAACAAAAATGATCCCTTTCCTTACAATTCTAAGTTTGTATAAGATATTGTCCCAATAAAACACATCCGCAATGGCGTATGTACCATAACTTGGTTTGAAAAAGTTAAAGGTATATGATTTTTTTTTTTCTGTGTTACTACAAATAGAAAAAGGACAGGTCATCAGGACACGAAAAGCACAGAAAACCTACAAGTGGTCGCTGCATAACTCTGCATCACATCCGAGATATTTCTGATCACATTCTCAATCTCCAGATTCTGAAATACAAGAAAAAAGAAACCAGGTTCATCATGGTAGTAGAACACTTTTTTTGTATGTTTGTTAAATGAAACAAATCAAAGTAAAAACAGGGGAAAAAACAAAAATGCACCAGCATATGAAAATGATGACAGTCCAACTGATTAAAAAGAACAGGGTGAAAATGTAGAATTTAAGATTTAAAAGACCTGTGGCATTATTATTCTAAGAGTCTTTGAGCTGCCACTGTAAAAGCACTGTTTTCTGTGCTTTAGTGCCTTTGGGTTTTTTTTTAAAGATCAAGTATTTCAGAATAAATAAGGTTTGCTGAAGCATACAAATAAAATAATAATAAATAGACATCCAAACTTTACCTCTTCCCTTCCCCAAAAGCTCAATAAATGAACACATACAAACCCAAGAAACTACTGACCCGGCTTCTGTTGAATTCGGTCTCCATCTCTTTGAGGACTTCATTGCCATTTCCTGGATGGCTGCTCAGCCTTTCGGTGACTAGCGAAAGCATCAGCAGTAATGCAGGCATGAGGGTCCAGAGGTGGGTCATTCCCTGAAACCACATCAGCAAATCAGAGCATTTATTACAGCATGAAGTCACTGAGAGGTTAAGTTAGACAACAGCGATATTGTGCAGCACAGAGTCAATCCAGTGCATGTTTAGACATGAAAAGCTTCATGTGGGGAGAAAGGCACCCTGTCATTAACGCCAGCCCCTTCCTGGCTGTCTGCAGCGTAAAATTAAACTCGCTAGTAGTTTACATACTTAGAACATTTGAACTAAAAGCTTCACTACTAACTGAATTAGTGACAAATGTTGCTTCACAGTGGAGATCACTGCAGGCTCTGTGACTCTATCCCATTAAAAACAACCAAAGTTGAACAAACTGCTTGATGAATCAGTGAAACAGGAGAACAACAATACATGCAGACATAAAGTAAATACTTAAATCAGAAAAAGGTGTAACTCTCTGCTGTAAATATAAACGAGTTTAAGGGGATTACTTTAAAAGCAACAATCTCCATCCTTTATAATAAATGACAAACGATGCAGGTTTGGTACAGCCACTTAAAAGGTTGTAACAAGCTGGTTGTTTTTAGTTTTTCACATCATATATGTATATTTATGCAGCATCTAGATGGTTTTTATTTATATTAGAAACTATTTTATTAAATAGGATGAATTCATTATGCTTTTACCTTTGATTAGGGTGAAATTCTTGTATTTCAAGCAGCTTTAAAGCTACAGTGAAATGTATTGTTTACATAAATACAATTAAAAATAGCTTTCAATTGATTATAAAGTGAATATTAATGTGAGGTTTAGTTCTTTCAAAATCATGGTAGTTAAATCATTTCCCCTTCACTTTGAATTGTAACACTGAGTTAGATTTTACAGTGTAAGTGAAAAGCTGAACAACAAACACCTCCTAAACACACAACTTGGGAATTGTTTTCTGTTGATGTTGATGCGATGCAGAGCTCTTTAACCAACTCACCTTCATACTCGTTTTATATATTTTTCCGCGCGTAAAGAGTCGGTTTGTGTTTCATGGATCAACGGAGACAGACGGGAGAGTTTCGGTGGCTGAAAATGCGCGATCCGCACTTCGATCCCTGCATATGGGGGAACCCTGCACACCAGAAAGGGGGAGGTTGTTCAACCCAGCTGTGACTCTACATCCTGTGTTGGAGCTCCGCACTTCCCACTGCCTAAAAGAAGCGACAAGTCTGCTCCGCTTCTAGTATTAACCCCTTGAACCCTACGGACCCACCGGCGGGTCCAGCTGCTACATGACTTCGTAATGTTACCAAACCCCCAGTATTGATGTAAAAAATATATTTGGCACAGTTTGGTGGCATTTATGGATAAATGTGCCAAAATGGCCCCTCCGCCTAAGAAATTTCTCACTAATACCATTCTAAAATAAATATGATTCATCTGATTGAGTCCAAATTTGGTATATTTTTACACAACATTTAGATTTGAAAGTCTGTACTACTTTTTTGTGCTATAAATAATATTTTGGTAGTGTTTTGCAATGTTTATTTCAGAGAAAATTTTGGCGAGGTTCAAAAAATGCAAAATATTTTGTATTTTGTCCCTAATATTTCAGGCAGGGTCAAAGCTACAATGGTGCTGACACCAGAAAACCATTCTATGACATCTTACCTTTACAGACATACCAAAAGTTTCTTCTTAAATCTAATAGCATTGAGGCTATAAGTTATTTACTTTTGTGTGTTTTTGTCAGGCAGAAATTTATTTATACCCCCTTAGGGTGTAAGAAACAGCATAGGGAAGAGGATTAGGGCCACTGACAATAATAAAAAAAAGAACAGATTTTTGAATATTATTTCAGTTTAATATGGGAAAAAAGTCAGACTTCCGACTAATCTCAGAATTCCGACCTTTTCTCAGAATTCTGACTTAAATCTCAGAATTCTGACTTTTTTTATTGTCAGAATTCAGTCAGAATTCTAAGTCATGCATGTTAGTCCGAATTCTGAGAAAAAAGTCAGAATTCTGAGATTAAAGTCAGAATTCTAACTCTTTTCCCAGAATTCTGACTTTAATCTCAGAATTCTGACTTTTCTCCCATATTAAACTAAAATAAAATTTAAAAATCCGTTTTTTTTTTGTTTTTTTTTCAGTGGCTCTCATAATAGCATTATTCGTGTTTTAGGCAAATATTTGTTTGGCACTGTGGAAGAATCTCTCAAATGAAGCAATATTAAATGTGTAAACAAAAAACATACAAAAAAAAGTAATAAGTTGTCTGTTTTAATTTAGATTTGATTGAAAGCACCATCAGTCTCTCCATTTGATCAGTGGAACATTTGAAACAATAAACCCCTGTATTATTGGTATCCAGATGTTTTGGCATGCTATTCTATTTGGTGATCAGCTTCACTTAGGCCAACCATAATGGCTCCCTTCACACATTCTCTGCTCTAGTCAGAAAAAACTGTATGTATTAACTAGTTTTCAAAAATAAAAAGATTACAACCAAATATTTATGAAAGGATTGAACAAGTCTCTATGTGGATAAAACTGATTCAGTACAATCATGAACAATTTTCTTTTGCGTTTTTAAAAATATTTTTTTCATCCAAAGTTGTGTTCTACAGAATAATAAAGATTTCAGAAATGTGACACTCCCTTTTAGTTTAGTCATAATTCTATCAGTATCAATGCCCATAAGCTACCTGATATATGGTGATACTTTCCATACTGGGGCAAGGGGGCACCAAATTTTGATTTACTGAAGAAGTGAATAAGAAGTAAACTGTGAAAAATGAGAGAACTCTGGCTGTGTCCGAAAGTCAGCCCTAAACTCAAAGAGGGGTAGGCCATTTTATATATATATATATATATATATATATATATATATATATATATATATATATATATATATATATATATATATATACATATATAGGGGTGGGTATTGCCAAAGAAGTCACGATTCGATTAGAATCACGATTCACA